GCTGCTTTGCTCCTGTGCAGATTTTCTTTGTATGGAAGCAAACCCCTCCTCACTGTGTTATCTCTGTCAATTCACTCTGGCAAAACCCCTCAGACCTATTTTAAACGTGCATGTGATGCAAATAGGATTTGCTAAACTAATTTCCTTGGGGGAAAAAAATCATAAACCTAGTTATGGAGAAAGAATTCCAATTCTGCCTGGCTCTGAAAGAAAGATGCAGGCTTGATTACTCTGAAAAAACTCCTGATGGCAATATTGTTTTCTCTTTTGTGTCCCCAAGAATTGAGAAGAAACGTGCTGTTGTCCCAGAACTGGCAGAAGCTGTCAAAACACGCGACGGAAGAGAAGTGAACTGGGAATATTTCTATCAGCTGCTGTTTACCCTGGATAATTTAAAACTCGTACATATTGCTTGCCATAAGAAAACCACTCATAACCTCAGCTGTGACAAAACCAAAATTTACAGAAAGAGGAAGCAAAACCACGAGATTTCCTAGTGCTGTCTCTGGAAGGGACCTGCTACTTTTTGCAATCATGTCAGTGCTGTTGTTTTTAAATAGCTCCAGTTTCTTAAACAAGAACTATTAAGAGTGCCTGGCACGGGACTGGCTGAGTAACGCAAAGCACACACTGATGCTCCCTCGCCTTCCCACTCCCTGTGAGCCTCCCCCAGCTCACACTGTGCTAAGGGTGTTAAAATCCAGCTGTGAGGGTACAAAATGAGCCAGAGGCTGACACTGTTTCCACCCTACCATCTCTTTCTTGCCATGACCAGTGTTGGCACAAAACTTGCAGTACACAGAAAGGAAACCTGGACAAAACATTTCTCACAAACTAATCTGGGGGGGCTCGTACATTCCTGTTCTCTGTAAGCCAAACAAGGAATGATTTAGGACCATCGTTTTGCTCTGTGCCTTTTGCAGGTAGCAGCCAGTGTATTCCAGGAATGGCAAAGGTGATTCAGCAGCAGAGCTGCCACCTCACCTGTGCCAACCTCCTGCCTTCATCCCTGACCACTCCTTTGCTGTTCCTTCAGACGTGCATCTCCCAGAAGGAAGAGCAAGGCCATGGCATAGCTTTGCTTTTCCCACCTTTGTTTGCCACCTCCCCATTGATTCCCTCTTCTTTTGAACGTTTTCTGCCTTTTCAGCTTAAGTTTGCTTGAAGCACCACCAGCAGTGACATCTATAACAATCAAGTTTACAATAATCATGTTTACCTGGTGCTGTAGAGAATATTGATGGGGTAAAATACTTCCTACCTTAGGCAATAAAACACAAATAGATGGGTTTTTACTTGATTTTTTTTTTAAATACCAGCTGATAGCAAGTGAACTTTTAGGGACTGTCACTGTAAACAGTGTGAATTTTTTCAAATAAAAAAAATGACCCCTTATCTGTGTTTGTGAATATGTGGAGGTGCAGGAGTGGTTCATCAGGTGTGATAGAGCATTACAGTCTGAGCACAGGGAGACACGTTTATGGAGCACCAGCTACCTCCTGCTCTGTAAATAACCCAGAAAAGCTCTGTCTCCCCCCATATTGATGCTCCTGCATGGAGCTCCTGCTCCACATGGAATTGTACAGAGATGGTATTTCTGCATGAGCCCCGACTTACTGGGTCTTGGAAGCTTTGCTGGAGAGAGTAGTGATTTACTTAACACACTCAATCCCCTCCCAAACATTTCAGCCTGAAAAGTAAGGAGGTGCATTTTAAATACAGGATTTCTAACTCCACTGCACAGAATTCATCCATCCAGCTTGCTTTCCTGCACTGTTTGACACTGGGGAGGGCAGCACAGCCAGGATCCTGGTGACAAACCCAGTGTCACCTGTGTGGTGCACTGAAAATCCCCATTTTGCAGAGTGAAATGAATGTCTGTGTGTGAAACCCTGCTTGCTAGAAAGAGCCAGCAGCAAACACAGCACTGAAGGAAAGCTGCTGCAAGATGGAGCTGGGCTGGAACCATGAATATGCAATTAAAAATCTGGATTTTTCCATGCTACAGAATTAGAGTGAAAAGAAATATCGTTGACAGAAACAATGCATCAGCTGGAGTGGAAATGGGACTGCATTACCATGCCATGCATATACAATTTGTTTGCCTCACAACTTTTGAATGTTTAACAGGCTCTAGCTGTAGAAATTAATATTTATTTAAACCATCTGCTGATAACATTTTTCCTCTATTTTTAGAAACACAGAAGGAACTATAACAATAAATAACTGGAAGCTTATTGCATAATCACACTTTCAAAGAAATACTCCAACAAATACTGGGTGAATTAACAGTTCCTGGAATTAGCTGAGGTTGCTTCTTACTTTTCAAACATGCAGGGGGGGCTGCCCCACATCTTAGCAATCCATACTTGTTCCTCTGCCCATCAAATCCTCCTTTATATCCACCAAAGCATTTGTTTACAAAATCCCTGCTGAAAATCAGTCTAAAATCCTTAATGAGCTGCAGCACAGCTCAAAGAACAACTTTTACAGCAGCGGGTGGAGGGGGAGGCAGCAACACAGGGTGGGTGTGTGGGGAGCTGACGTGCAGTAAAAACGTGCTGAACTCCCAGAGGTGAACACACTGAACTCACACTGACACCCTGCATTGCCTTTTGGCAGCAGAACTGATTTGTAGAGGTTTAATTGGTCCTGGTTTAGATGTAAACAACCCACACAAGAGACCCTTGTCCCTCTGTACCAGGGAGTCAACCGGCTCCTTTACTACCTGGGTGCCAGAGACATCACAGAATTAAAAGAAGGTTGTTTTAGCATCTTTTCCTTGACTATTTCGAAAAAAAGGAGTGAAACCAAATATTCCCTCTAGATTGAGGCTCAAATTTATAAAAAAAACCCTTGAGAATTTCTATTTTCCCTGGGGTTTTTTTCCTAAATATTAATGGTAAAGTGCTAAATTACAATCTCTTTCCAAATCACAGTCTTTGCCCCAGATAACTGTAGGAATACTGTATCTGCCAATTCCAGCAACACAAATTCTCCTAGTTCTCTCCCTGAGAAAAGGCAAACACAGACACCTTATGTTACTGACAGAACCATTGCTATGTGGTTGCAAAGAAAAAGAAGAAAGGTTTAATTTGTTTACAGTTTGTTGTTAGACAACATCCTCTTCCTCCTCATCATCTTCCTTTGCAAAGAAATGGAGGTTCCTGACTTCTCTCCTGGTCATCGTTGTGCTTGGGAGTGCAACTGCTGGGAGATCCTGGAGGAAACAGATAAAATCATTAAGGAGAAGTCCAATGCAGGGGGGTGGAACTGGATGATATTTCAGGTCCCTTCCAATCCAAGCCATTTTATGATTCTATTAAGAATCAACGACCAGTAAAAAACTATTTTGACAACAGTGCTGCATCACCATAATACAGTTGTGAATGTCTTTACCAGAAAAAAATATCTCTTACGGAACTGGACTAAAAAATCTAAATAAGAAATATTTTACACCTAAAATTACTTTGGCTGGGCAAGTAATTTCATCTCTGATTGAGACAGTTCTATCGGGGGGACAGCGATATAACTCCAGATGTCCAACAATCTGGTCAAGTTTGCCAACAATTTTGAGGCAAATTTAAAGTGGAGCAGAGCCGAGTCTAAAGCACCAACACACTCATCACCTTACCGGCTCGAAATCCCCGAAGAAGCGGTGCACTGGCATGGGCTGGTTGCTGTCCTCATCCGAGAACCCGCTGTGCTCCAGCTGCATCGGCCTCCTGGGGCGATCGGTGTCCTCCGAGCCGGACTCCAGCACACTGCCACAGCTGCTCTCCTCCTCACCGAACACGGGGCGGGGCAGATATCCACCACTGCCCACTTTTAATGGGGTGCTGCTCGACCTCGCTGCGTGTGGCTCCAGAGAAACATCGTGCACCTCTGCCTGCTTCCCTTCGATAGTCTCTGGAATGCTTTCACCTTTTTTCTGTTGGATTATATTGGTGTCTCCTGGATCTTCTGAACCTCGATGCCCATCAGACGCTTTTGGCATTTCCCCCAGTGCAGCAAGGTTTCCACTTCCACATGTGAGTCCTTCCAGTTCTGATTTGGGACTGCTTTTTTCCCATTTCATCCTCTTCGAGGGTCGTTCATCAGCTGCTTTGTGTGACGAACACTATTAGGAAAAAAGACAAGATTCTAAACCTCTCTTGAAATAAATTAAAATACAACCAGCTTATCTCTTTAGTTGCAAGGCTGGATGGGGAACTGAAGGGCTCCATCACACGAGCAGCACCTTGATCCAAATCTAAGAAAAGTAATGAGCAGAAAGTGCACATGAAGAGAGGAAAACAGGTGCAGGCAGCTCATATAAACCACAACATACAGTCCATCACCAGCAGAAAGCCACTTCTCAGAGCATAAACTTGCACCGTACGAGGTTAATGTCTTATCTTAATGTTCTTATCTTCTTAGGGATGCTGTTGATGGACGGACTGTCATCACCCAGCACGGCGGAGCACCACAGCACACCCACTAACAGCCCGCTCTGCGTTTCTGCACAGGCTCAAACAACGAGCCGGGAAGGTGGCGAAGGCGAAGAATTTACTTAAATTCTCCTCGTGATGCTCAGCTTCTAGCAGTTAATAATAAGCTGCAACCGCCACGCTGCGACTGCCCGGCCCCGGGGCCTTCCCCTCACCTCAACCCACCCAGCCCGTCCCTCCTACCGGGCTCGCCGTCTCGGTTTCTTCCCCCGCGGGCTGCGCAGGGTCTGTCGCCGGGGCCCTCTTCACCCCTCGCCCGGGCCGCCGCCGCCGCCGCCGGCGGGGCCGGGCCGGGTCAGCGGGGCCGGGGGGCTCCGAGCGCCGCCCGGCCCTCCCCGCGCCGCCCGCCGCCATCTTGGCAGCGCGCGGGGCCCGCGCTCGCCATCTTGTGGAGCCGCTGGGCTCGCGGGCCCCGCGCGGCACCGGGCACAGGGGCCTGGAACGGCGGGGAGTGAAGTGAGCCCAGAGCAACTGGGCACAGATCGCAGAATCGTGGGACAGTTTGGGCTGCAAGGGACCCCGAAGATCATCCAGTCCCACCCCCTGCCATGGGCAGGGACACCTTCCACTAGCCCAGGTTGCTCCAAGGCACGTCCAACCTGGCCTTGGACACTTCCAAGGATGTCTAGTCCAAACCTACTCTGTCAGTTTGAACCCATTCCCTTTGTCCTGTCACTCCAGGCTCTTGGGAATAGTCTTGCCCCATCTTTCCTGTAAATTCCCGTCAGGTTCTTCCTGACTACCCACTACCCAAAATCTTCCTCACAGCTGCTGCCTGAGGAGAAACCCAACCCCATCCTGCCACAGAGTTCATAAACCTTAGAGATCTTTTGCTTCCCATCATATCTTCCTCCTGGAGCAGCACTCGCCACCATCCAAGATGTGGTCAGAGGGTTATTATTCAGATGTGCCTCTCTCTCGTTTCCACAGCCCTCAAGGGAACAAATTATGTCAGTAACTCAAATCCCCCTTTAACTTCAAGGACTCTGACGGTAGCAGATGAATTTCTGTGTAGCAAAGCGCTCAGATTTAAGTACGCAATTATCCCCCCTGATGTTGCCGGGCAGGAGCAGCGCTGCTGCGGGGAGCGACGGCGGTGCCGCTGCCCTGACGGCTGCGTCCCCGCGATGGGGCCCGCGGGCTCCATCCATCACATTAAACACAGCTCCTTCTCCGGTTAATTCAGTGCTTTGGGGACGCTGTGGGGATTTTTATAATTCTGTCCATCTGAGGGCACAGGAGCTTGTTTCTTTATAGCAGCCATTAATGTTCTTGCTCATCGCAGAGCCATCCCACGAGTCTCAGTGGTACCTGTGCCCCTCCATCCAGCTTGGCTGATTAAATGCTTGTCAGTTCATCCTGGCCTTAAAAACCAGGAGCAACAATTTAAATCGCAGAAATAAGTGGCAAGAATGGGGATATTCAAGTAAGACGTATTTTCTCAAAAGCATAAAATCTCCCAGTTAAACCATGCAGGTCTGGAGATGCCTGCTTATTGTTGTGCAATTTCCCTCGGTGCTCAGGGCCCTTCTCTGCTTTGTTCTGTGGGTGAGATAATTCATATTCTTCTCCGAAAGCTTCTCGACTTGCTCCACTCTTGCAGTGCTGTTGCCTGCAGCCATGGAATACAGATGATTGTTTTTATTAGGCATAGAAAACTTATACTGTCTTGTAAACAGCAGCAGACTAAAACTGGCTGATGAACAGTATTTCTGCAGCTGGAAAACTTGGTGGTTGTTTTAATTTCCACAGCAAACTAAAAATAGTAAGGGAAATTCAATGTTGACAATTCTAATAAATACTTTTAACACCACTGTATGTTTCTTGTTGTTTATGCTGCTTTAGAAAGCTGATATGTACGTCCAAGTGATGAGGAAGCAGCCCCGGGGCTTCTCTGACCCAGCACTGTCAAGGGCTCACGCAGGGTGAGATACAGGGCTACAGGCACCTGAGGCTCTGCAGGTGCTTGAAGGGACAAAGCACCTTACATGGAGCCAGGATGGCAGAGATCTCTCCAGAGCTCTTGTGTCACACTCACCCCATTCTACCCTCTAACCGTGTTGTTTTGGGGGTAGGTGGTGGCAATTTCACAGCTGCAGATGTTGCTGCATTTTCTGAAATCCAGCTGAGATAACAACTGTCACATAGCACAGAAAGCACCCTGGAGAGAGCGTGGATCCCTCTGAGATCTGTCCCCATCTCAGCAGCAGCAGTGTCTCCCGAGTGACTTGAAAGGCGATGTGGGGACTGCCAACAGCCCTCACAGGGAATCAGAGCAGCACAAACTATTTACATTAAACCCACATTTCCACATAAAAGGGGGCTTATTCTCAACAATATTAAAAAGTGGGTTTTATTAGAATCTGTTGTCTAAGCGGGCAGGAAAAAAAAAAAAGAAGGTTTTGTGAGCTCCGTCATTCCTGTGAAAGCTGGCGGCTCCACAGCAGCAGCTGATGAGCTTATGAAGCAGGAAGGGAGAGTCAGGCTGTGAAACTCGATGTGTAAATGAGCTTCTTGCAGCACTTGTCTCTGCGCCTGTCACTTGCACCAGTGTCCCTGTCTGTTATAATCC